TGTAACTACTTAATATCTCTCTCTCTCTCTCTCTCTCTCTCTCTCTCTCTCTCTCTTTTGTTAGTGAAATAATTACTTTTGCATTTTATAAGTACTTTCTGTTATTTTGTAGATGTATACCATCTATTTAAAAAAAAATTTTTTTATTTAAATATATATCTGTATAAACGAGATTGATGAACGAAGATGTGGAATTGACACACATCATAAGAACGCGGAACCAGTTACTTCACGTTTATAGATTAGTTCGATAGCTTGAAAGAACGTCGATACCGTCCGTTACCGTTTATTGCTTCGGAAACGAAGTTGAATGCCGTCTCTCGCTCTATGTTCTCAGCTATTCTTCGATAGTTCCTTTAAACCACCGAATAGGCTTCCAAATAACTTCCAGGCAACCTCCGTTATAGATGAGCTCTTTGTAAAGCTGTCATAGAAATCTCCGTTCTCGTCAAGTGGAATCAGAAGTACTCTCGGAAATCAAGAATCGATTTTTCTTACTAATGTCTTTTTTTTGCATGGCTTGTACCTATTGTATTTCAACTAATATTTTTTATAAAATATATTCGTTATTGAAGTTTGGAAAACATTCTGAATAATTCTTTGGCTTGGCTTATTACATCTCGCTACTATTAAGTAAATTTTTAGTAACAATTCAATAAATTGATAATTTATTCTTTTTTAGTGAGGAATGAAAGTTAAGTTAAAATAAAAACTAAGTAATCTTTTATCACGATTATAGCAAAATTGTGAAGGAATATCTATTCATTAATCGTAAGGAAGATACAGCTTAGAATAAGTTTCCACCACGTTCGCTTATATTATGCACATTTTGCTGTTACTAGAAAAAGAAACACGCGATGTTGCGGCAATACAAAGTGATGCGTGTAATCACGGCGTCGTTGAGAAATGGTCGACTAGCGGGAACATCTGGCGCTTTGAAGCGGAAAACGGGCAAATCTTCCCTCATTTTTCTCATCCCTGCTCGGGACGATACGCTTTCTAGTTAGCGTTTTCTTGCCGCGAACATCATAGATTTTCGAGTTTATTTTCACACCAGATAAATATGAATCTCTGAGAAATGGAGGAATAATTAAGCGGATGGACAAAAGAAACTCGTGACTCGCGCGACGTAACTTTGCAGCAATTTTCTTAAATTTTGTCCCCATTTGTGTCCTACATATTACGCAAACAGTTTTCCGAGCAGGGCCGGTAATGGAGAACTTTGCGATGGACTTGCTCCTAAGTTTCCGAGTTTTTGTTGGACAAAGTCGCCGCACTTCGTTTGCGTCTTATCGTGCTAGTATAAAGTAACTACTTCAACTCAGAGAGTTGAAATGGGTCAACGAGTCTGGATTTTCGAAATTTTCTTTCACGTTTCTTTTCTACCTTATTTATCACGCTAAGATTTTAAAAGCCTCCAATCGCGAGCCGTCATAGTTTTAGAGTTATTGGAAGCCGTGGGGAATGCTTGCCTGAAATGCGTAAGCGGCTGATTTCGCATTTCCCGCACGCGGAGCTACTTGGATGACCTGTTCGGAATTTTCAAAATGGTCTGGCACCAGGTTGTTTGCATCTCGTTTGCACCTGGCGAGAAAGAAAGTTTTGGAAATTCTCGGCGGGCACCCGCTTCGCTTCAGATCCGAAGTTTTTTCGATAACTCGAAAATTATGGGTGCCCAATGGTCGTTTCTCCACATCTGGCCAGCGGAAACGACGTGTAAAGCCAAACTTTTGTAGAATCGAAGATTCTGGACAGAAGTCGGCTGGTTATATATTATCACAGAAGCTATTGGAAACGGCGAGGATACATGTAACGTACATAAGGAGCAAATAAATAAAAAAACTTTTCGTGGAGATTGCATAGTGATTTTTTGTTGTTGTAAGATTGTAGTGATTAGAGTCTTTTTTATTTTCCTATAAAATAATTGTTTATCAATCGCTTAGAAAAGATCACATATGTGTATGGACTCGTTTAAAGATGTATACATCTGTGTCGCAGTTTATTCTGAAGCTTTCTCGTGATAATCAACTTTCAATCTGTTGAAGTTTATTTTGTTTCGCGTTTAATACGTGCAATTCATGGTTACATATACTGCAGGAAGGAAAGCTTATAGGGTTTGTAGCAATACGGATTGGTATATGTAATCACGATCCATTGAAAAATAGCCAAGCGGCAGAAGCATATGGCGCTTTGGAATCGGGGAACACAGCTTTCCTCCACCTTTCTTTTTGATTTCCTCGTCAGCTGGCGCAGAGTATAATAATATTTTTGGTTCGAAGGTCGTTACTTCTTAAGTCGTGTGCTCGAACATTTCTGATATCTGAAGAAATACGGTCGCCTTTCATCGACTTCAAAGCACTCTCGCGGAGTAAATACTATAAAATATTTAAGAAAATCAGAGAGAGAGAGAGAGAGAGAGAGAGAGAGAGAGAGAGAGAGAGAGCACGCGCGCATACATTATGTTCTGTGTCGAAACATACTCGCCATTTTGCTTAAAACTTTTTGAACTAAAAGATAAATATTTGGTTTAGAAAGATTTATTTGATCTTAAAATTGTTTAGTTTTTAATATTAAATCATTCCATATTTATGCAATACGTCGTAAATTTTTTCTAAAGGAAACATTTAGTTCGAGAAAAATTTTATAACGAATAATTTTCTAAAAGGAAAGCATATAGCTCTCTTCTTGCTCACATATATATGTAAGTGTAATATGATACTGTTCATCTCGCAGAAACGGATCTTTTATACTATATCTCTCGTAATTTCGCTCGAGTTCAACGAGATCACATATCTGCACGTCGTTATATAATTTGTCGTCTATGAAAAAAACATGAATCCATGGTAGTAAGTGAGGAACGATGCGCGTAATCACGGCAACATTGAGAAATGGTCGAGTAGTAGTAGCATCTGGCGGGCCGGACCGGGCCAGGAAGCGAGAGAGAAGCCTCTTCTGGTTTTCTTGTTGATTTCCTCGTCGTCCTGCGTGAACAAGAATAATGCTCTCGGCCTGGCACCGGACCCGGTACCAGATGCCGGCTCACGAAGATCGATACACGCCGTTGTTATTGCGTCCGGAAACGAGTATCGTTTATCTGCGAAGAAGGGGTGAGTGGGAGCGAGAGGAGGAAGTGGCAGCGGTTTCTATTCCGAATCTCGAGATTATTAAAGATTGAAAATAACAAAATTATCGATAGAAAAAATAAATTCACGCTGCAATAAAAATATAAAAATCTACATTCGTTCAATCTTATCTAAGTATCTTTTGCTTTAAATAAATAAAAATTGTAATATTCAGGCTATATTTGTTTTTGGTATTGTAAGTTTCATTTTATTTTTATCGTTCATTATACATATGTAAAAGGAAGATAGAATGAAGCTTACTCCGTGAGCGCTCAAAGCGAGCGCAGTTTCAGTGCTGAGACACGCCAGCAAAATTTTGCCGATTGCTTATTTAACTTATTAGACACATAAGCATAGACATAACAGATATGAACTGCGTATTCTCTGATCTTGTTAGCTTCTGTATTCTATTAAAAAGAATTGAATTGTATGTCGACATTTTTCTTCAACTTGATATTTCAAAAAGGGACAGAACGATAGATTCAAGCTATTTCAATCTTTCTAAACAGTGATAATTTTATAGAGTATAGTCTACTTAAATACGCAGTCTATTCTTATTACATCTGTGGTTAGATGTAATTGTAAAGTTTCTCGTCCTTCCTGCTTCTCTCTATAAATGTTCTATATTCATAAAGCGGTAATCAATTGAACAAATTAGGTAGTAATCGATATTTGCAGTCCTTTGCTCGCTATATTGATGTAGACTATGCATGCAGGATGCATTAATTTTGTTTTTGGAGTATCTCAAATTATTTCTTTTATTTTAAATATATGTAGATGAATATTTTTTACCAAGGTCTCGAAACTTAAACTTCCGACAGTCATAAATTGAGATATTTGTATTGTATATTTTGACAATAAGATCCTTCTCTTACGAAACGAGATAGGTCTCTAGAAGTCATCTGCTGGAATCTTCAGGATTTCGAAATATCCTGATATTCTGCCCGATGTCTCCGCGGAAGAGATTGGTTCAAAGACGGTACGCAGAAGCCAATGTGATTGTACGTGGATACGAAGGGGATTGCGGCAGGTCACGTCGCGCTTCACTTAAAACAAGTAAAGGCCGTGGCAAAACCGTAGGATGGAACCAGTGGGTAAACGGATAAACCTAAGCCGAAGGATCTCTGTCCTTCTCCATGATGCGTCTGGCCTATACGTGCTCAACGTTCAGGACATGTCTGCAACGAAAAATGGTCTCCGTGTTTCACAGAATATTCTCTATTAGAGTTGTGATATGAGTGCAAAAACTTTTAACATAGCGGTTCGCTGGCTGTGGGTTATAAGAAAATTAATGGCTCGTTCGTATCTGCTTCTTATCTTAAGAAATGTTTTTCGTTGCTTTGAATAACAGCAAAGATGTATTAATACATCAGTTTCTGATTTCTAATTAATAACAAACAAATATTTGAGAAAAATAATACATATTATTTTAAAAAGTATAAAATATAATATGCATCTCTATATACAAATCTTTATTACATCTTTTAATTTGGAAATTTAAGGCTGATAAATTTCTTATATTATTACAATGTAACTTATACTTTCATAAAGAAATAGGTGAATGTATGTGTGCATGTGTAGATGTATTCGTTATACATTTATCTCTCTCTAAATTACACATTTATCTCACACATTTATCTATATTTATTACACATTTATCTACACTATACATCTAAATTACACATTTATCTACATTTATCTACATTTATCTCTCTAAAACCTATTATATAATTTGTTTATAGAGAAACTATTATGTAATACTTATATTTACTTCACACTTATATAATCTTCACATACCATATCCACTCCTATCAAAAGATAAACTATCCCGATATCAGAATCGTTCTGTTTATATAAATTTAAGTGAATTTTCAGTGAAGTTCCATTTACAGTTCGTATGAAACTACTGACACTGAAGCGATCTTCTCGGTTTATTATCCTGCTGCATCAGACATTTTTTTAACTCTTTCGGAAACTGGAATATCTCGATTTTATAATTTATTTTGTGACAAGCTAGTACATCTGACGGCTGCGAATAGAAGATATAAAGGTAAGTATATGTGCTAGTATTGTTAATCGAAATGCCATTTCCACAAATTCACGGCTAAATTTAATGTCGCTGCGCGATTGTGAACATTCATAATTACGCTTTTTATGAGTTTGATATTATTTTCGGCTCGGTAGTTATTAGTGGCATGTCAACCACGAGCTACGTCGTATTTGCAGACAGGCAATTATGGATCGTTGGCTTGGTAAAACCGCAGTCGTTACCGGCGCTGGATCCGGCATGGGCGAAGCAATTACACGTGCTCTTCTGCGAAACGGAGTGAATGTGGTTGCTCTGGAAGTCCTAAAAGAAAGATTAGTAAAACTTGATGCAGATTGTAAGCGAGAACGTTTTCCGGGCAAATTATATACTATATGCTGCGACGTAACTCGCGAGGACGAGATCAATGCAGCATTTTTGCAAATTGAGACGTTAGGTGGTGTGGATATTATGGTCAACAATGCTGGCATTATTGAAACATCACGAATAATAGGTATGATGATTATGTAGAATATTACAAATACGAAATTTTTAAAGAATTATTTAAATAAATATTATTTATATGCCGATATCGGTAATGAATTTTTCTTTATGGCCACTGTAGAAATATAATATATATGTATTGTACATATTATCTTAGTATTGTGCAATCGACTTAATTCGATATTAATTTGAACTTATATATTTATGTAATTGTTTCGGGAAATAACAAATATTGTAATTCAATCAAAGGATACATTGATATGCAGCTGCAAAGTATTCGTGACTGTCAATACATTTAATCTCAGAATACTTGAAAAATTCGAGAACCGACTAAATATCTTATTTAAAAATCTAATTTTGATCGTAAAATATTATTAAAAAATAGCCTAACCAGTAGAGATATGGAATGATGTTTTAAGCGAAAAATGTTATGTTGCTAAAAAAAGGAGATCTTTACTTTTATTTACTTTATTTTGCTATGTACATCCTGCAGCTAATTGTAACACTTATACTGACAATATACAATAAAATTCAGCTTCCTCGATCATATTAGTTCATTAAATATAATTCCATAAATTACGTTTGCAGATAGCAACAGAAAGACATTTGAAAAGATATTAAATACTAATGTTCTCGCAGTCGCAGTATGTATGAATAAAGCAGTTTGTTCGATGCGCAAACGAAACGGTGAGGGACATATTTTCAATATCAACAGGTAATGTTATCTATGATTAGTACATTAACAATGATTGAATAAATAAATAAGCCTTTAGAAATAAGTTTAACAAAAAAATTTCTTTGGTTTTCCATAAACTATGAACGATTGTGAAAGATTTTTTGGAAAAATTTTATTGTGATGCTTATTTACTGTATAATGTACGTTTAATATTGATATTTTTTATCCACAGTATTGTGAGCCATCACAGAATACCGAACGAGTTGTTTGAATGTAATATGTATTTCTCTAGTAAACATGCATCTCTTGCTCTTACTAACACAGTGCGACGTGAAGTAGGAAAAATTAAGGCACCTATTCGAGTTACCGTAAGATAATATTTTTATAATGTTATGTATAAATTATAACTTTTAAAATTAACAAGAAACGCATTATAATAATTATATTACTTTATTGGTATATTGATAGCAAACTGTTCTACAATGAGATAATAGAAGCCACAAACAAAATACTCTATAATCAAATATTCATATATTTTATCAAATGTAAACAATGATGGAGTACTTATGTTTATCAGCATAATATTATAGCAGATATATTATCATGATGTTTATGATATTTTTATGCAGTGTACTGCAACTATGCTGCGTTTATTATGTAGATAATTATTACTTCCTTGTCTGGTTTTTCCAGGGCATTAGTCCTGGTACTGTAAAAACAAATATAGTTGCGCATGACGATGGTTTGAAAAACTTTTTTGAGAAAGCACAGCATATTCTACCGGAGGACATAGCGGATGCGATCATTTATGCTCTTGGAACACGACCGATTGTGCAGGTTCAAAAAATCATTAACGTACTCTCTCTTTCTAATAAATAATAAATATAGAAAAATTATTTTACGCGTTAATTAATTGCAGATTACGGAACTGTCTATTCAACCTACTGGAGAATTAATGTGAGGAATATTTTCAGTAAGAGGCCTGTCTATTAATGCATCAAGAACTTTACAACAAACAACTTTACGCTTACGATAAAGTTAGAAAGTTAGAGGCTGGTAAAGATTAAGTTTCATGTCGCTTTGCATTTGTTATACAATATAAATATCAAATTTTTTATATTTAATGTTTGTTGTTGAATTTGGGAGAGTCCGTAAGAAGATTACATTATTATTATTTTATATTTAAGTTGTTTTCTTCCTATAATACTGTCCACGTTTCAATAGTAACATACACGTAACATAGTAATTAATCGACTGTAATCGATATTTATCGGTTATTTTCGTTGTCGAGTGTGTCTCAAAAAGTCTCTTGTATATTTCAAAAAATCTATTGTTACTGATAATATTTCATTATTGTCAAGTTGTCCCAAGCTTATTACCAACCATGATGAAATTTGTAATGAATTTTGCGGTAAAAAATAACGAAAAATTCTCTCCGTGTATCTGCTTCTTATCTTAAGAAATGTTTTTCGTTGCTTTGAATAACAGCAAAGATTAATACATCAGTTTCTCCAGAAAAAATAATAATATAAGAAATTTCAGCCTTAAAAATAACTGATGTATTAATCTTTGCTGTTGTAATAATATAAGAAATTTATCAGCCTTAAATTTCCAAATTAAAAATGTAATAAAGATTTGTATATGGAAAATACGTATTATTTTAAAAAGTATAAAATAATATACATCTCCATATACAATTCTTTATTACATCTTTTAATTTGGAAATTTAAGACTGATAAATTTCTTATATTATTACAATGTAACTTATACTTTCATAAAGAAATAGGTGAATGTATGTGTGCATGTAGATGTATTCGTTATACATTTATCTGTCTCTAAATTACACATTTATCTCACACTATACATCTAAATTACACATTTATCTACATTTATCTCTCTAAAAAACCTATTATATAATTTGTTTATAGAAAAATTATTATGTAATACTTATATTTACTTTACACTTATATAATCTTTACATGCGGTATCCTCACTCCTACCAAAAGATAATACTGTCTCGATAGTATCAGAATCGTTCTGTTTATATAAATTTGAGTGAATTTTCAGTGACGTCCCATTTACAATTCGTATGAAACTACTGAAGCGATCTTCTCGGTTTATTATCCTGCTGCATTAGACATTTTTTTAACTCTTCCGGAAACTGGAATATCGTGATTTTACAATTCATTTTGTTACAAGCTAGTATATCTGACGGCTGCGAATAGAAGATATAAAGGTAAGTATATGTGCTAGTATTGTTAATCGAAATTTCCACAAATTCACGGCTAAATTTAATGTCGCTGCGCGATTGTGAACATTCATAATTACGCTTTTTATGAGTTTGATATTATTTTCGGCTCGATAGTTATTAGTGGCATGTCAACCACGAGCTACGTCGTATTTGCAGACAGTCAATTATGGATCGTTGGCTTGGTAAAACCGCAGTCGTTACCGGCGCTGGATCCGGCTTGGGCGAAGCAATCACACGTGCTCTTCTGCGAAACGGAGTGAATGTGGTTGCTCTGGAAGTCCTGAAAGAAAGATTAGCAAAACTTGATGCAGATTGTAAGCGAGAACGTTTCCCGGGCAAATTATATACTATATGCTGCGACGTAACTCGCGAGGACGAGATCAATGCAGCATTTTTGCAAATTGAGACGTTAGGTGGTGTGGATATTATGGTCAACAATGCTGGCATTATTGAAACATCACGAATAATAGGTATGCTGATTATGTAGAATATTACACGGAGAGAATTTTTTCTTAGAATTTACCCTGAAAATATGACAATCGTGGGACAACATTGTATTTCGAAGAATTTTGATATAAATCTTTCTCATTCATTAATAAAACTACAATAAAGTATAAAATAAGTTTGATCAATTTTACTGAAGTGCATGGTAAAAATCTTTAAAACATTGTATTGTACTACAATCACCATATTTTCAGGGTAAATTTTAAAAGAAGATTCTCTCTGTGTACACAAATAAGAAATTTTTAAAGAATTATTTAAATAAATATTATTTATATGCCGATATCGGTAATGAATTTTTCTTTATGGCCACTGTAGAAATACAATATGTGTTGTACATATTATCTCAGTATTGTGCAATCGAGTTAATTCGATATTAATTTGAACTTATATATTTATGTAATTGTTTCGGGAAATAACAAATATTGTAATTTTTTTTTTCAATCAAAGGATACATTGATATGCAGCTGCAAAGTATTCGTGACTGTTAATACATTTAATCCCGGAATACTTGAAAAATTTGAGAACCGACGAAATGTCTTATTTAAAAATCTAATTTTGATCGCAAAATATTATTAAAGTCATTAAAAAATAGCCTATTTAGTAGGGATATGGAATGATGTTTTAAGCGAAAAATGTTATGTTGCTAAAAAAAGGAGATTTTTACTTTTATTTACTTTATTTTGCTACGTACATCCTGCAGCCAATTGTGACTCTTATACTAACAATATACAATAAAATTCAGCTTCCTCGATCATATTAGTTCATTAAATATAATTCCATAAATTACGTTTGCAGATAGCAACAGAAAGACATTTGAAAAGATATTAAATACTAATGTTCTCGCAGTCGCAGTATGTATGAATAAAGCAGTTTGTTCGATGCGCAAACGAAACGGTGAGGGACATATTTTCAATATCAACAGGTAATGTTATCTATGATTAGTACATTAACAATGATTAAATAAATAAATAAACCTTTAGAAATAAGTTTAATAAAAAAATTTCCTTGGTTTTCCATATAAACTATGAACGATTGTGAAAGATTTTTTGAAAAAAGTTTATTGTAATGCTTATTTACTGTATAATGTACGTTTAATATTGATATTTTTTATCCACAGTATTGCGAGCCATCACAGAATACCGAACGAGTTGTTTGAATGTAATGTATATTTCTCTAGTAAACATGCATCTCTTGCTCCGACTAACACAGTGCGACGTGAAGTAGGAAAAATTAAGGCACCTATTCGAGTTACCGTAAGATAATATTTTTATAATGTTATGTAAAATTATAACTTTTAATTAACAAGAAACGCATTATAATAATTATAATATTACTTTATTGGTATATTGATGGCAAACCGTTTTACAATGAGATAATAGAAGCCGTAAACAAAATACTCTATAATAAAATATTCATATATTTTATCAAAACAGTGATTGAGTGCTTATGTTTATCAGCATAATATTATAGCAGATATATTATCATGATGTTTATGATATTATTTTTATGCAAAGTATTGCGAACTATGCTTCCGTTTATTATGTAGGTATTATTACTTCCTTGTCTGGTTTTTTCAGGGCATTAGTCCTGGTGTTGTAAAAACAAATATAATTGCGCATGAGGAAGGTTTGAAAAACTTTTTTGAGAAAGAACAGCATATTCTACCGGAGGACGTAGCGGATGCGATCATTTATGCTCTTGGAACACGACCGATTGTGCAGGTTCAAAAAATCATTAACGTACTCTCTCTTTCTAATAAATAATAAATATAGAAAAATTATTTTACGCGTTAATTAATTGCAGATTACGGAACTGTCTATTCAACCTACTGGAGAATTAATGTGAGGAATATTTTCAGTAAGAGGCCTGTCTATTAATGCATCAACAACTTTATAACAAACAACTTTACGCTTACGATAAAGTAAGAAAGTTAGAGGCTGGTAAAGACTAAATTTCATGTCGCTTTACATTTTTTATATAAATATCAAATTTTTTATATTTAATGTTTGTTGTTGAATTTGGGAGAGTCCGTAAGAAGATTACATTATTAATATTTTATATTTAAGTTGTTTTCTTTCTATAATACTGTCTACGTTTCAATAATAATTTTGCTAATCTAATCTTTTTCAATGTATTTTCTATTTTTAGTTAAACAGAGAGAAAAATAAATGATACAGTAAAATCTAAAATAAGGATTTTGTGTATCTATATTTATTTTATGAGAAATATATGAAAAATGACATTGTAAGGATATTTATCGTTTATTTTACATTGCATACTCGAAATTTATGGTCAATATACTATCAGGAAACGAAATACTGACTATCAGATATCGCTGTTGTTTATCTCCTACGATGCCTTGTACTTGTACATGTCATTCTAAAAAGATATACACGACATTCCGATTTGTGACAAATTCAGCTTATCGCGAAGCAACGTTATCGGCAATGCGTTCGCGTGTAATCGTTGCATTCAAATTTCGACGAAGTGGCTGCTACACACACCCAGTAGTTACATCCTGCTTGTCGTATGACAAATACAGCGTCATTTGGCATTTATACGTGAACGATTGAAATGCGCGTTTCCTATACACAAATGTGCGTCTCCCATATCTACGTTGTGCATCCGTATGCGTGCTTCTAAACATGCATTTCCGACAATAGCAGCTTATACCGTACCGAGCTCGACTGACAACTATGGAGGCATTCGAGTGCGAGCGATAGTTAAGGTGTCAAACAAGTTCCGTCGTGCTTCGCGCAGTTCGAAGGAATCGCGTAGCGTTATCAGGAAAATCGATTTTCGCGGCATGCATCGAGTGTCGGGTCCTGTCAAAATCTAAGTGTATGCCTCGTATTCTAGCTCTGCGATTAGATCTCTTCTCACACCGTTATAGTCAGATACTATATGCTATTCATAGGTGATTTTGAAAATTGACATATAATATAATTCAATCAATATTTATTTTTAATAGAGCTTATAATAAAATATATCGTAATGATTATTATAAACTTAATGGAAACTATATAAGATATTCTGACATTTACAAACTAAAATACTTTAAGAAAGTTTTTGAAAAAAATAAGTTAAAAAAATATTTGCAATTTTTTGTTCTGAGTAACAGTTTTTAATACATAAAAATTTAAGAGTAGTTAATTACAGATTACGGTTAAACGGTTAAGTCGCCTTGTGCGATCATTAACATCCATGCGTGATTCACAGACAGGTTTAATCGTAATTTGTACAGAGTGTCCTATAGAAAGTTACTGAAACTAATACATATACTAACAACTATGATTTTTAAACGTATAGGGAATAGAAAAAATATAAAATATTTTTTAAATAGAGGACATTTGGCAGTTTTATTTACATATAAAGTAAACATACGATTTTTGAAATATTT